AGAAAGAGGAACCCTGTGCAAGGAGCAGGACAGGGAACAGCCCGGTCAGGGTAATGGGTGTTTGCCTCTTCCCTCACTCTGCCTGTGCACCTGGGCCAGCGCTGTGGTCTGGTCTCAGGGCTCAGCTCTGGGTTTGCGTCCTCTGGCCCCAGGTAAAGATGTGGGACATAGGGAGACCCAGGGAAAGGTACCACTTGCCTGGGGTTTGGAAAGATCCAAGATGGCAGCACGGGGAATGGCTGGGGTGCTGGGAGCAAGGCTCTGGTGTGGAGCTTGGCTGCTGAGTCCCGAACCATCCTGTGTTTCCCTCTGTCTGTGCTGCCCCTTTTTCTTTCTGAGTCCACTGCCAATGTGCAGGTAATGGAGTACAGCAGCACCTAGGTGGAGCGGCTCAGGTGAACCAAGGAACAAACATTGTACACCCTATTTCTTTGAGTTTTGGGGGCAGTCCTACAATTTACAGCCCTGGCCACTCTCTTAGGGGAAAGCAGCAGGAAAACGCCTTTTTCTTGGAGGTGCAAGCTCTGCTTCTCACCTACTATTAGCTGTAGCACCCCCTTCTGCACTCTCCTCACTGCCTGTGAGCCCTATGAGCTAAAATGGGGCTCAGGCTATTGTGGGGATGTGGGGGAAAGTATTGCAAAACAGGTAGGTGGAGAAGCAAGGCTTGGCAAGCTGTTGCTTGATCTAGCAATATGAAAAAGTTTGTGGTTTGCCAGCAGCAGTCCCCTGTCTGATAGACATTTGGGGCCCAAGAGTTGGCAAATGAATAAACCTCATGCTATTCTAATTTTTTCATGTGTTTATAAGGAAGCACAGTTTGGGGTGGGGAGATAACTGGATAGAGTGAAACTAGGATGGTTGATGTGTGTTACTGTCTAAGAGCCCATTCATTCCATCTAATCTTGTTAGAGGCTTGTGTGCTGTGTGGGTTGGTTGGGAGGGAGTAACCAGTTACGTGTCCCTCCCTTGCAAGAAGAGATTGCAGTGAAGAACAATAGCATGCTTTGCTGGCATTAACAGACCTTCAGCTCCACAGACTTTGCTATTTTCCTTCCATGTGGGTTTGTGGGTGTAACTGAGAGCTGTACAGCTTTGTTTCTGTTCTTTGGGCTTCCTGTGTAACTACACCTGTACAGCATATTTGGTGCAAAAATAGCAAGGGAAAGACATGAAGTAGAAAATTATGTAATATAGACTGGAGGCCCTCAAACCATGTCTTAGGGAGGCTGCACAGGTGCTGTACATCTCCCACAGAATGGGTCCTAAGGCTATTTGTTTACTTTAGTGTATGTTGTGATTGCACGGTTTAACCCAGTACTGGATCCTTTCAGTCACGCACTGAGTGCACGTGGTGAATTGTGACACTGCTCTGCTCCCACTGGTGTCCTGCCCCTCCAGCTGGATGCTGCTCTGTAAAACCCGGAGGCCATCCACCGAGCCTTAACATAACCGCTGTTGGGTGAGATGTCTCAAATGTGACATTATGTTATTGAGAATTGCACTAGATTGAGATGAGTACGTACCACCTTAAGTGACATAGTACAGTCCTTCCGTTAATGGCCAGTTTTACAGCCAGCGGATGGTGGAAATAGCTTTTTTCTTTTCTTTCAAAAGGCTGTGAAAACTGAGCGATGCTGTACTTTATCTGAATGGATTATCTGCATCTTAGGAGGCAGATGGTTTCAGTCAGCACCTCTTGTTTCCCTGCTTCAAAAGGCACCATCTTTCAATTTCTTTGCTTAAAAAAAATGAACCTACTGCAGGCTCCTGTGCTTCACCTTTCTTTGCTAGCATGTTCGATGGTAAGGTGGTGAGGTACTTCCTGTTTATCTACAAAAATCTCATCTTCCAAATCAAACTTGGCTCTCTGGAGACGTCATTAAACCAAGGTTCAGCCTTGCCCTACGGGTGAAACAAACCACGTTAAGCTTTCACTAGCCTTTGCATCTCTTGATGATGCAGTACTTCTTCCACGTGCGTTCGGTCTCGTTCTAGGTCCCAGTTGCCTGTCATCGTTCTGTGGCTGCTCTGAACGGACCTGCTGGTGCTTTCAGCTTGATGGGATAACAGGGGGAAAGCTGTACCTGCCCAGCTGAATGCACTGCAGAGCTGGTTGGAAACTCAAGCGGGTAACCTGCTTGTCCCCAGCACCCCTCCTCGCCTTCCTGAGGGTCTTTGGACTCTTCCCTATGCACTATGGTATAGGCAGAGCATTGCACAGCATGTTCCAGAGCCATATTGTTTCACGTGTACTTGTTCTCTGGAAGGATGGCCTTTTTTACTTTTTCCCCTCTGCCTGCAAGGCCTAAATCCAGGTCTTTTGTTCAAATGCCTTTTGAACAAATGCCTTTTGTTCAAATCCATTTAGGCTCTCCATTGAACGGCTGTCCTTGGTTCTCAGTTTAAGACCACTGAGATAGAATCTATTTCAGAGAAACACTTTTTTCTTATTCTGAAAGCTACTTGCAGTTTATGAAAATAATTTTACCTCTATCAGCTGAGCAATAAATGCAATTGAAGTTCTATTTCTGGGCCTATTCATACCTAACTTCCTCCAAGTTTCCCAATCCTTCACCTAAAATAATTAGTCTTTAGCCATACAAGGACTGGCCCACTAAAACAGAGCAAACCGAGTTTTTCTAGAAGACAGCTTTCTACTACTTTTTTTAATGAGGATTATCAATGATTTACTGGATTGATAATTCATATATTTTTAAAAGAAAATCCAAAATATCAACATGGTCTGAACTAGCAACTTAGTGCAGAAACAATACCAGGGATTTTTATCCACACGGATACTGTGACTGAGGTCAAAGGTGCAGGGGGAGGCAGAACACAAGTGTACGATAAGCATAATAAACCATCTAGCTTACCAAAATAGTAGGGTGAATGCGTATGTGCTTGCCAGCTTTGGTGTTAGCTGGAATGATACCAAGATGAAATATGAAGATAGAAGAGCCTTACTTTCTTCCATCAACTTAAGTGCAAACCATCCGGTGCGTTAAGTGCAGCCTGAGAGCTAGTACATCCTTCCTTTTCAACTGTGGTGCAGTTTTTTAACCAAGTTAAAGACTCTCTGCTTGCTGGTGTAAATCTCTGGTTCAAATATCACTAAGAGTAGTTTTTAAGAGCATTATTTTGCTAGAGCAGATGCATGGTATCCAAGCTAGAGCTGAATAAGTGGTGCAGAAGAAAGGTGTGAGTTTCTTTTCAAACTTCAAATGGCACCTTGATCTTTATCTCCTTTTTATCGCCTTTCCCGCAAACCTGAGCATGAAGCATAATCACATTTTTTGTGCCAGCTTTGGGAGGAAAACTTAGCATGACACAGTTATACACAGTTATATGTCAGTCAGTCACTGCTGATCATTGATTCTTTCCATTGATTCATTATGGACAAAAGCAATATGCAATAACTTAGCTAACCAATCATCCCACCAAGAGAAAAACAGTGCGCGCTGTATTTCAGTATTTTCTCATACATTATTTGTGAGAATTCTTTGTAAAAGGAAAACAACCCTCTCCTCCTTCCCAGTCTTCCAAAAAACCCCAAACACACACACAGACGTGTTCATTTGATTTTGGTTAATAATAGCTTTAGACATTGATGGTATTCAAAGAACTTTGCAAGGAGATAAACTGCAATGAAAAACTGAATCCTTGGAAGGATGTTCTTAGAAACTCAGAGAAAAATTCTCCCACAAACAGTTTTAGCTTTTACTTGGGAGAAGGTAACCTGACTCAGTATCATCTTCCTCACAGATCCATTTTACGTGTTTCTATCCTAGAAAAACTGTCCCCTTCTCCCCTTTGTCTATATTCAAGCTGTAACCAAGTCGAAGTCAGACTAGAAGCAGAATCCTGAAAAAAAGGAAAAATAAGAAAGCTGACTGATTGTTTTTATTTCCCCCTTTAAAAGATAAACACCCAGTGCAAATACCCACCCACTGACATGGGCTGTGTTTTGAATTCTGGGGTTACAGGGAGGCATCCATAGGTGGTTCTTAACAAAAGGGAAGTTTTCCTGAAAGAGAAAGGAACAACGTCCTAGAGGGAAGCTAGAACTGTGACTGCATGCAAAATGGTTGTCTGGAGAGTCCTTGCCACATTTATTTATTTACATTAATGGAGGCATATTCTGTAAAATCATTTTCTACAGTTAGTTCCCTTCTCTGGTATCTTTCTGCAGAAGCAGAATGATTTAGTGCAGCGTATGTGAGAACATCTGCACTTTCAAGTAAAACTGGGATGGAAGGAATAACAGGATCATTGTGAGGTGCATTAGGTGCTGTCCTCTGAGTGTTCCAGGGAGGGACGTCGTTGTCATAAATTGCATTGCCGTGCAAGGCCTGCAGTGGGCTAGCCATGGAGCAATAGTAAAGTGAGGAGCTTTCTTCTGATCCTTGAGTTGTCCCAGCAGCATGGGATGGAGCAACTGCTGGACTTCTGACCTGCAGAAAACAGAACAGGGTACAGCTCTGTGTGTATCTGGTTGTTACCTGTGATTCTGCTAAATAAGAGGTGTGTAAGATTTTCTTCTTCTTTGAAACTGCTTTTGAGCACAGATGAATTGGATTCACCTGGTCACTAGATTTTATATTGATCTTTGAAATAAAGTTAGAACTCTCCTGACTTTCTCTATTTCCTTCCCCAAATGCTCATGTCTCTTTCTTTGCAAGATGCCAACTTAAGGCAAAACTGATTTATCATTTTGTGAGAGCTCTTCTATGACACTCATTCAAGGCTTTCCCTTCTCAATTTATGAAATCTTTCTTATCTTCACCTCCAAACCCCAGACTATCTTTTCTTCATTGTCCCCATTCTCCCATTTCCTGATCTCTTGCTTCTTGTCGTCTTCATCTTACTATTTTTCAAATAAATCTTTCTCCTTCTCCAAAATCTGCAAATTCCTCTATAAATTCATGTCTCTCTAATGAAGACATCCATTTTTCTAACCACTTAGAATATACTGTTTTAATTGTTTTTCCTCCAACTTGCTCTTTGTGAGCTCTGCAACCTGTTTGGTGCTCTTTGATCCCCACCAACATTGCTCCTGTGATTGATAGATGTCATCTCCAGTTGCATCTTCTGCATTCTGCCTTCTGCCCATCTAATTTGTCTGGAACTGATTGCAAGACCTGTGCGAATTCATGCTAGCCACATATGAAAGTCTTTCTTTTCAATCATTTTCCTCATTCTGGGTAATTTTATGTCTTGCACAGACAGTCTGGACCAGATCAAGAGAGGTGCTTTAGGTGCCTAAACTCTTACTGGAATGGTACTTACAAATTAATATGCTTTAACAGAAATTTAGATACCTAAAGTATCTTTGTGGCTAAGACCCTTAGTTCCTTGCCTCAGCTCAACATGCTGTCCAGGCACCAAAAGGGTCACCAAATCTGTCTCTGAACCTATGCCACATTTTGTACGACACAAAGATTTGTTCTTGGTATGTGGTTATGCAGATCGTGGTCAGGTTTTGATGATGGAAAAATGTAAACATACCAGGTTCTCTTGTCTCTGTTGGCTTAATGGAGTTCTCTTCTGCTTTTCTGGGAAAAAGAAAAAGGAAAAAAAGAAAAAAAAATTCAATAAATTAGCATTGAGAGGGTGCCTTTTTGCTTATGGTGCAAGTATTAATTACTATAGGAGTCCTTGCCTTGCTGAGTGGGCCTCAAAGAATAAAAACCTATTTCTAAACTGGTTTTGGAAATAGCTATTCTGACAAAAGCTAGCCAACACAGAATAATATATTTATAGATTGAGTTTCTGTGTTCCACAGAGCTCCTCTGAATAGGAGCAGAAAAATTCCTAATATACTTGTGGCCAGTTTTCTCTGTGTCCAGCGAACTGGGTGGGGAGAAAAAGGCACAGAAAATCCTAAGGCCATACTATAAGCAAACACGTTAGATTTTATTGGAAGATGAAATAATTTCATTTTCCTAAAAAAAATTTTAAAAATCTATGGGATTATAATAGGCAAATGCATGATCACTTAAATTAAGACATGGGGGAGTCCAAGTTCCATTCTTGTTTTAGGACATCAACTGTGTAAGAGTTCCTGTAAAGCAGTAGAGATTAATACTGTAATTTAGAGGGAAAACTAGGAATATAAAATGTAACTGGATAGAGCTTGACTGCATTCGCATGGCTGAAACTCCTATTTATTTCTAACCTGATTATTTGCAAAACAAGACAAAAATTTCTAACTGTTATAAAGTCTGAGATTTTTATTTGTTCTTACTTTTCTTCCATCCTTCTGTCTCTGGAAGGGAACAATACACCGGGCAAATTATATTCTTAAAGATTCAGTATCCTAACAGGTGCGCTCGACAAGGACATCTCAGCAATCAGATGGGGTAATTATTAGGGAATTTTCATAGAGCTTTGAATGCAACTTCTGCGAAGCTGTGAAAAGGAGAGGAATCAAATGCATGCTAGGCAAAGGTTAGGTGGTAAAACTACTTACCATGGTACCTTCTTATACACAAAAACATGCATACGATGATGAATGGGCAGCACAGACCCATGGATGCTGAAGCATAAATAATGTGCAATATCTTGTAGTTTCCAGATTCTTGGGACTCTTCTGAGATGCTAGTGGTATCTAAAATTGCATTAGCATGTATTAGCACAGAGAAATATTTGACTGGTGCTTTTTTGTTTTTTTTAGTATTAGGTCTTTCTGATGCAACTGGCTTCTTAATATACTTAAACATTCTGTAACTTGGTACAGCATGCCATAAGGTAACCTTATCTCCATGGGCATTCTAAGAAGTATGAAGATACTGGGAGGAAAAGTGCATGGGAAAGTGCAATTGATGAATGATGCATGGCAGAAGGTTGGCAGAAGCAAAGAAAGGGTCAGAATTAGAGCACTGCTCTGAACTTCCAATATATTTTTTGCTATTGTGAACAATAACCAACTGTGAGTAAAAACCATACTTTGGGCTATGTTAAAGTGATGGTATAGCATGATTCCTAACACTTTGTAAGTATAAGCCATATATCACTGGGATATTAAAGAACATGTCAGAAGTGTAGAGTATACACCAGGAGATTATTTGATTGGCTTTGTCCTTTTTATGCCAAACGCTGGACAGTCCTAGCCTTGAAAACTATGACACTTGAGAGACTGTATTTTGTTCAAGTGGGAAGAAAGCAATTGTAGTTTAGCAATGATTTTAAATTTGTCTTGACTGCACAAAACACTCTAACCAGAAATTCATAGCAATACAGATTAGTTCCTTTCTCTTAAAGAGGAAATAAGAATCAGAACTTACTTTCTGGTGAAATTGTTGTAACATTTGCAGACTTTTCTGAAAGAGAAAAGCAGACAGGGAAATGAAAGACAGGGAAATGTCAGACAACCAGGCTGTCCTCCAACTATCTTTTTTTCCAACTGACATTTTTTTATTATCAAATAATCCACTAATGGCTGTTTGGTGTTGGCAGCTTTGACTTTTTTCTTCCAGATCCTCCTGTTACTTCTTTATTTTGTTCTTTGCTTTTGTTTCTATCCTACCATGAGGCAGGATAACAACTGTGCTACTAGTCAAACATGTCAGGAGAAGCCATCGTCCAGCATACACGAACTTTTTCTGCACGTGGCCCCCTTTTGTTTAAAAGAGCTCTTTCATAATACATGGGCCTCACCTTCTACAATAACCTTTATTCCATGACTCTCACTGGAAAAGTTGTCCACTATTGCTCAACAATGATAAAATCCGCTATCATTCTGGTGAACTGAGAAAACCTCCTGACTAAACACGCTGGACTTCCATTCTGCTTTGCCCTCCTTCAGCCGCATTCATGTAGTCTGCTCTATCTTGCACCACTGCATGACTGGCTTTTTCTTGCAGTACTGAACTGGGCAGTCTATAATCAAAGAGTTCCCGACATTGATTTTGTACTGGGAGTGTCTTTTAACTTGAATTTCAACTGGACAATTGGTGGCATCAAGTCTCGGAAGAGAAGAAAAATGTTACAAAAATCATGGTGGTGGGGGTCTGCTATATATTCCCCATACCACTAATCACAGTTTCTTTTCTCTTTCATTACTCAAGACTTCCCTTGTCTATTTGCAGCAGATCTGATCTCTATATGGGACGGTAATAGCACATAACTTCAAGACTATTGGTTCTTTCATTTTTAAGAGGATTGTTAAAATGCACTTACTCCCTCTGATATGAATTTTTCCCTTTTTTCTACATCTTAGTCAAGTTAGAAATTTAATAGTTTAGAAAGAAAATATGTAAAATATATGTAGCAAGTTTTCCTGTGTCATCCTTCTCACTGACGTTTTCTGTTACTTTTAGGTTTACTTCAGACTATTGTTTAGTTCACAATTCTTGTTAACTTGCAGAAGACTTTCCTCTGGTAGAGGTTTTTACCATTGCAATATTGAAAAGAATTACATTTAATGCAAATATACCTTATATATATTTTTAAAGTTTTGTTATGTTTTGTTAAACTCGATGTTCAAGCTATGGTACGTCACCATAACTCTGGGTCTTGGTAGGGAATTTCCTGACCATTTATTAAAGATTCATGTTTCTTCGTGGTGTTTTATTTCTCTGGCTAAGTCAAAGTAACAAAAACTATGTGATACCCACATGCTCCCTACTTCCCTACCCTGTCTTACAGCACAGCGCTTGTGCATTGAACAGACTGATTGCTCCCAAGTCCAGAGAAAGAAATCTCAAATATACCTGTATATTCTGGTTGATAGAGGGGAGTAGAATAAAAATGGTAAAGTATGCTGAAGGCAAGTTTTGTAGGGAGGAGAAATGTGTATGGAGGAAAGAGTAGTGTGGGGAGCAGAGGGGTCTCTGTCAACAGCCAGTGCTGTTTCAAGGGACGGAGCCTCTGGGCCCCCGGGTCGCCAGTGCACGTAACTGTGGCACCGAGCGCCTCACCTGCACCGTCAGCCAGTATTTCTTATGCACGTAATAGAACAGTCCTTGTGAATACCTGGATAGTATATTCAAGAGCTTGGGATGGCCAGATTAACAGTTTTCATTTATGACCTCTCCTTTGCAAGCCTTTTCTCTACAAAGCTCAGACTAGTCCACACCATAAATAAATTGTTGAGCACTCGGTGATACTGAGTTTTGAGCATAAGTGTGTTCATAGCCTGCATTATAGCAGAGCTAACGCTTTGCTGCTGTTGATTTTTCATTTTACTCTCTTTAAGGTGACTTCGGGAATGGGCATCTAAAAATTAGGTGGCACTCATCTGCCTCCAAACCTAAATCTTTACTATTATTCTCATTTTGCCTTATCAAATGTACCTGATCTTGCTTGATAATGAGGAAGAGGCTATTCACTATCAGGATGTTATTTGCAGCCACTGCAAGAAATTGTGGTCTCTGATGTATCTCTTCCATGTGCAACAGAGCAACTCATCTGCTTACAGGATTTGGCATCCTGGGAAGTTTCTGCTTTGAGGGGTCCAAATCTGAAATCATCCTTGTATAACAACTTTCCCTTAGTCAGGATGGCTTTAAATGGGGATTGAAGTGGGCTGAGTGACAAAAGCACACAGGTAAGCAACTTGGACAGGGGCTTTAAAATTGCTCCCTGCAGAAGGAGCAAGTGGTGGAAATTCAATAATTTGTATGGAGATGAGAAAATAAACAAGGACTACAATAGCTCTGGGTACAAACAATGTCTTTTTACTAATGAAAGAAGTCTGGATAAAAAACAAGGGAAACAACTAGAAGTCTTAATTCATGCAATATCTGTAAGAAGAGAAGGAAAGAGAGCAGCAGAATAAAAATGGCTGGGTTTGGCAAAGAAAGCTTTAGTAAGTTTGGAGACCTGGGAGATAAGAACTCATCAGACGTAAATACAAAGGAAAAGGATGCAAACAGAGCTGGTGGTCCATCCAATAAATGATGAGACTACAAACACTAAGCATCTACACCACAGCAGTGCAATAAAAGACTATCTTGGCTAAATCATGAGCGAGCTCTTCCCTGAGGCAAGAAGGAAGCATAAAGAAGGTCAGGTTATTAAGGAGAGGCATAAAAGAACTGAGCAACATTGGAAAAGCGATGGCAGAGAATGAGATGCACTCAGGAAAACACATCAAGTGTAAGTATATTGATTGTAAAACTAGAAAAACATTAGCGCTCTCGTTAGTGGAGAGATAAAGCTGTCAATTGATTACCAGCAGCAAATTAGATTTACCAGATAAATTAGAGAAATTATTTGTAAAAAGGCAGGCTCAGTTCAAGAAGATATACAGGGGGCATGCAATAACCTTTGTGTTCTGCTCAGGACTGGTAAGTGTACCTAGGCCTTGTCCAGTCTTTTGCACTTCTTCAAGAAAGAAGGGGGGTAATGCTTGGAGTATCTCCAAGCTGGGAAGAAGGCAGCAAATACCGTGAACACGGTAAGAAGGCTCTAAAGGAAAGCTTGAAATTCTTGGGGTTGTTTCACTTAAACAAAAGCAATGAAAGGAAAGGGCATAATAAAATCATGTAAAGACATAAAAGAAGAATGAAGTAATCTGGGTTTTTTTCATGTTTCTGTTATGTATGGAGAAAAATAATGGGCTAAAAGTGAAGTAAGGAAGGTTGATTACGTAGTTTGAAAAACTTCCTAACTGTGAAAAGAGTAACACTGGAACTGGTTTCTGTGGAAGCTGGTAGAGGTTGGATCACTGGTGGCCCTGAGGACCACCCTACGCTGACTGTCAGGATAATGTAGCTGAATTTACCTTCTAACCTGTCAGTGTATGTAGTCATGTAGACAAGTTCATGGACACCAGGTCCATAAATGGATACTGAAAGGACTTGGGAAAGATGCTGACATACATGCTGACGACCCCAATGCAGCTCTTCCGTTGCTGGGGGGACAGGAGGGGAATAGGCCACAGAAAGCAGCCATGCTCATGTGCTCTCCCTGAACAGCCTTCCTTCTTGCTGCTGCCAGAGACAGGGCACTGGTCTTAGGTAGTATGGCATTTCTCATGTGGTCCCCATTGATGCACAAGAGAGGCTCATAATCCGCGTTCTGCCACAGCATTGCCTCTATAATAGGTCTTGATTCTAAATAAATATGTGGTGTACAGGAAGAAATATTCTCCCAGGGACCATCCATCTAGATGCGGTAGCAATAGCAATATATTTAATATAACATTTAACATATTATATGACATTTAATGTGAATAAAATAATTAACCGTAGTACTTAATATAATAAATATACATAATATATATTTTTAATTGCAATTTATATGATGTGGCAAATATATTGCAATAGCAACAGCTCTAATATGTAAAGCCTGGCCATGTTCACAAGGTAGCTTTAGGTGATAGGTCAGCATGCCCTGCCCAGTCATCCAGTCTCTTTTCTGCTCTCCTGAATAGGATCATTCTGAAAGATATGCTTGTAGTTACAAAGCGGGATTACTTGTCTTTCACTTAGACTCTTTCATCTCTGATCAAAACAAAGCATGATTTGGGTTCAGGCAAGTAGATCATATCTACTTTGGTCGCACCACGGTAGCAGCACATGGTTATCAATAGTCTGAAGATAGAAACTAAAAGCTCAAATTAGGAAGTAGAAGTTTCAGTTATTTAAGCAGTGATTGCCATAGAAGATAATGCTCAGAAAGTATCTATAAAGCTTTGACTGTGCCCTCATAGCAGCCTTCTTTCTGATATAATCCTATTTAACAGGCATTTCCAGAAGGATGTGCAGGTCTCTGCAGAATAGATATTTTCTGATATCCTTCATAGTTTTATCTTTTTCAAAATTCTCTTTTGGAAGAAAAAAAACAAACCCACGAACAAACAAAAACCCAAAACAAAACCAAAAACTTTTCTAGAAGGTCCAAAAAGTCCAATTTCTCTCAACATTTTAAAACAGATTTCAGTGACACTCTCTCATTCAGCATCATTATTAACCAGGAGAAGGACAGAAATTGTTGTACCTCTTTCATTCTTATATTTTTCCAGTGCAGAGGTGTCATATTTTCCTTGGTTATGAATAATCCGGTACTTTTCCAACAAAGTATACATCCCAGCCCACTGTCACTTTTGGAAGAATCACCTAATCAGCATTGAGCAAATTTTATACATCCAACAGCGTTCACCTGGGACAGGGTTAGTAATCCTCATGAATTCAGAGGAACATTAGCTGTGTAGGTAGTTGAAAAGGAAAATGTCTTATCAATGTTAAATATTGTTCTAAATAAATGATTGTCTTGCACTGGTAACCTAGAGTGATGCTCAGTGGCAGAACCTCCCAGAGAGAGGGAACAGGGGCGATACTGGGTGCACAGGAAGTTTTGAATTGCCCTCCAGCCACACCCTGAGTGGGAATATGGAAATTTCCTGAGCAGAAGCTTTACTGAGATCTGAATGTACTTCTAGAGTAGTTTTTGTGCAGCCCTTGCTCTTTAGGTGAAAAGTATAAGCAATTCAAGTGCTTGCACTGATATCACAGGAAGTAACTTCCCTCCATACAACTTCTGCGCTACTACCAATTAAGTCAGAAGGAGATATTCCACTGCTAACCAAGGATTTACTTGGTTACAATTTGTTGTTTGGCTGTTTTTTTTTTTTTTTAAATCCACTGGCATTGATATTACTTGTATTACTTTTGCTCATACAGTACATTTTTAAGAGAGTTCAAATAGAATGTGCTAGTACGTGTCTCAGTCAGGTGAGCTCAAATAGTGCTTCTCCTTTTTTCCTAAGTGCCTGTGCCAACATGTGTCACAGTTTTGCTCCTTTGTCTTCTGGTGGTGATCATTCACTTACTAGCATAATTCCAATACCATCAGGTCTCATTAAATTATGTTTCCAGACCAAAATTCCGACTCCAACAATCCTTTCTTTCTCCACAAGGTTACCTACAGAAGATGCCACCGACCTTTGGGAGCTGCACGTGGGAAAATTCGCACAGCGCTTGCTACCCAGCCCGATAGTGCCACTGCCTGCCCGCGGTTT